AATCTGCTTGCAGCTTTCTGCAGGCGCTGCCCTGGAGGATCGCGGCCACGCGTAGTTTAGGCACACCAGTGTTGTGCCACGACAGAGGGAAGAAATAAATAAATACAACTGCAGGGGATTTTTGAGGGGAATTCCTTCTTGTGTTTTCCTCCAGCGGCTGTTCTCGGGATTGATGCGCTGCCCGCTTGCTCACAGCCCTGTCCGTGCCCTGCCAGGGGGTCCTCCCTGGCCCGGGCTGCGGGAATCGTCACCGTGCATCCTGCCGGCAGCGGCGGCTGCGGGATAGGGTGGCGCCGGCTCCGGCCAGACTTCAAACCGCGTTAAGTGGGACCTAAGGGGGCAGGAACTGGGGAAGCGTACTGCTGCACCGCCGCCCGGCCGTCTCGAATGCCCGATTCTGCCGATACAGGAGGGCCCGGCCTCAACGGGGCGGGACACGGCGCCGTCCATCCATCCGCCAGCACAGGACACCGGCCGTTCGCAGGAACACCATGGGGCCGGTAGATCTTCATTTGTAATGCTCCTACCCAAAGGGATCTCGCAAACGGCGGAGACACTGCAAGCAGCAAGCGTGCCAGCCCCGACACCGCAGTGCGCCCGGTAAAGGGGCGAGCGCGGAGGCGAATCGTTAGGCGCCCACGCTCATCGGCCTGCGCGCGGGGAGGCTGGCAGCGGTGTCTCCTCCCCAAGAGCACCGCTCGCAAGGTCGGCCTGAATTAAAAAGGATTTAAGGGCTGCTGGCTGCTGTGACCGAGTTTTAATTTTTAAAATACAAATGACAAAGATTAAGAATGTTTTTGAATGTGTCGAGGGTACATTCTACACATGAAAAAAAGCGGAGCAGGAAAACAGAGGGGGGGAAACCTGCAGAAAATAACCCCAAGAAAAGCTTAACATTTAACCCCCCCGCGCGCCGCAGCCTGGGGAAAAGCAGACGCCGCTGTCTAAGATAATCCCCGACAGAGGCTCCTGGCTGCGCAGCACCGGGGGCTGCACCGAGAGCCTTCAGTGATCGGTTCTGCTGACTCAGAGCTCGTCCCCTGGCTTTGGGAAGCGGCGTGGGAGGTGCGGCATCTCTCAGCCCGACCAGCTTTCCAGCGGGGATGGGAAGGCTGGTCTGGAGCCTGCCGCTGGAGGAGCCTCCGCGACGGCGAGGAACACCCGCAGCGCCTCGTGCATCGTACATCAATGTACGATCAATGTACATCAACGTTCCCCAACGTACCCCAGCACACCCCCACTTGATCTGCAGCGCCCGCTTGCAGCGAAGTCAATCAAAACTTCGCCACGACTAAAGCAAAACGTAACGGCAAGCACGAAGGCCGAGCTCCTGTAGCTCGCTGCGTCAAGCAGGCGGGAAAGCCGCTCCGTCTCCAGCTCTGTCTCGCATACGACCCGAGAGGTGTCAGCACTGAATTTCATGGAAGCATCCCACCTCCATGGAACCGTGTTCGACACCGCAACAAACCACTACGAAAGCCCTAACGGTTCACTGGATTTACAAAGCAGCCAGCATACGGGAGTGGGCTTTTAAACCTTTCTTTTCCTTTCCCCCCCACCTGGCACGACACTGGGATCGAGCTCTGGGTTGATGTTTTGGGACTGGTGGCTGGGATGGGGGAGACCCATGCGTAAGCAAGCCCATCGCCCCCGGAGGGAGCGGGGAACTCTTCTTCCCGGGCACCGTGCGCTTGCACCGAGACGTAACACGGCTGCGGAGAAATGCACCGTGGTGGGAGAAACCCCCCCGGAAAGCCAGCTTTTGGGATAAGGACAAAAGGAGTGACGGCGGCAAAACAATCACATCAACTTTTGGATAAAAAGGCATAAAAAAGAAGTTTAAGATATAAATAGAAACCTTAGAAATCTGAGCTTCTTTGTTTGGAGGATTTCAAGGTTAACGAGTTAAGGGCCGTTAGATGCCGTGAACCCTGAGGTCTGACGGCGCGGTACGCGTGGGCTTCCCGGCAGAGGGTGCGTAGCGGCGATCATCCCGC